CCCAGAACAGTACTATTCAGCAGTTAAGAGTGACAGAGTTCTTTTTACATGAGAGCAGTGAGTAACAGTTACATAAACTGATAGGTGAAGCATCAGCAAAACCTTATTGAGTGCCTGCCACCACAAGTGTATATCTCAATTTTCAAATGAGTACTTGCACTCTAAAAGCATAGTTTCCAAAACCCAGCCTTCCCTCCACTTCATTTACATGGCAGTTAAAAGAAACATTTTTAAACCAGTGGCTTATTAAAATATTTAGTATTTACATTTTCTCTACTTATCTCTGTCAGTTCCAGACTAGATGCTTGGGTACTTTGTAAATCCTGAGAAAAGATAATAAAGATTAATTAGTAACATCCAGTAGAAAATATTTTCTGTTCATAACCTGTTTGATATATCAAAAAATTATAAATGGTACTAAAAATATGCTTGAAAACTATGACCCCAAAAGACACTTAACACTGGGGTCCTTCCCACCCCTACCAAACTGGCAAACATTACAGAGAATAAGATGTGACCGCAACAGGAAGGTGAGAAGATGGGCACGGTTGTTGAGTGCAAATTGTTTCACCCTTTTGGAGGGCGAGTTAGCGGTATCTATCAGAATTTTGAATGCAAATACAGTCACGTGTTGCTTAATGAAGGGGGTACGTTCTGAGAAGTGTGTTCTGAGGTGGTTTATGTCATCATACGAACACCACAGAATATTCCTTAACAAACTTAGATTGTATCGTCTACTACAGACTTGTAGGGTATGACCTATGGCTCTTGGACAGTGAACTTGTACAGCATGCTCTATACTGAATACTGCAGGCAACCGGAGCAGCATGATAAGTATTTGTGCATGTAAACACATCTAAACACAGAAAAGGTACAGTAAAAATGCAGTGTGACAATCTTATGGGACCACTGTTGTCTATGTGGTTCATCATTGACTGAACTGTCCTTATGCAACATATAAGGACACTCTCTGACTCAGACACTCCCAGCCTATGAAACTTTCTTACAGAAATACTCCATTTTACACCCATGCAAAGGAAGCGGCCGCTACCTACCCGGCTGAAAACGGTATGTGTTTTGCTAAACCCACACTAGATTTGAGATCCTACAGACAATCAAGCTCTGGCTGATAAACAGCCTTCTGCCAGTGTGAACGATCCACATCCAAAACATTATACTACAGGCAGGGAGATACGTCCTTTTTATCTCAATAGAAGTGTTATTTGAAGACTTTTTCTACTATCTCATCAGAAACCATCCTCATAAAACACCCCAGGCTGTGGAAGGTCACTCACCGAGCTGAAGCTAAAACCAACTGAGTGAATATTCACTTTGCCATAAATGCCCAGAGTGTCTATTTTCTCTGGGCCAATCCTGTGGGCATAAAGCAGAGTATGTTTTCCGTTTACAGCCACCTAGAGAGAAACAGAAGACAGACACCCCCCCCAAAAAAAACAAGTTAATAAATTAACTTACCCAAATTTCAATGTTTCCTTGCATCCAATTTTACACCCCTTCTCACAGGTCTCCACATACATCTGACCAAATTGTAACTGAAAGCACCCAAAACACTAGCAGTGTTTCTGAACTTCGTTTGAGTTCCTGATCTGATAAGCATCATGAACTGTCTCTCCCGAGACAAACATGCAGTCACAAATATATGTACGTGTGCCTGTGTGCACCTCTGTGTACATGTGAGATATCTGGGTTCAGCGGTCGCCTGGAAGCCCTGCACAGGTTCCCTGGAGGCTGTGAACCCAGTGAAGGACCTGCCCTGAGAGCTCTGCATGGTGCTGTCCCTGGAGACCACCCACGTGGCAGACACTCAAAATCCGTTGAATTTGCTAAATGAAACAAATGAATATGGCCAAGTCACCCAACTTATCTGAGATTCGGTTTTCTTATTCTGAATAGGAACAATCTCCACCTCAACAGACTACAGTAGTAAGATGACGATGAGGTAGCTTCCACGGGTCCTCAGCACTCCACACGGCTCCTCTTCCCTCCCTCTCAAATGCCAGTACCAAGTTAGGTTATGTGCAGAAAATGCAAGCAGCATGCAATACGGTCTCTGACTCAGGGAGCTTAAAATCCCATTGTGGGGGCAAAATAAACACATAAAGCCAAAGCTCAACTGTTAAAAACCGTTAAAAAGAATGATACAGACAAAGGCTTGAAAGGCCAGAGAAGGGAGAGGTGAATGGAGTTTGGGAGATTCAGAAAGATTTTCGAGCAGGAGAGGTATCCTGAGGATCAGAAAGGATCTCCATCAGAGACATGCGAGTATTCACTCGAATTGGTACACACCTCTACTCTGCGAAAGCTCCACAGGCGGGAGGGCCGGCAGGTGTAACAGCCTCTGGACCAAATTTAGCCTTATACATACACGCTAGGTAGAAGACACTCCAAGAAGCCAGAGACGGAACTGGCATCAAGGATTTCTAGGATCTCCTCTGGGTCTAAAATCTTATGACCCTACAGAACTATCCTGTGGCGAGACTTGAATTTACAAAACCCTTCTGATTTCCACACCGGGATTGCCCCCGTTAGGTCTTTGGGTGGTGGCGGTTGTATTGTAACTTACCCCCTCATCGTTAACATAATACTGTGTCAATTCAGAACTTAGCCCTGCTAGGAGAAATAGGATCTAACAGAAAGAACTGGTCACAATGGACCATATTTCTGCAGAGCAACAACTGGCTGAGGAGTCGTGGGGCCACACCTCACATTTAGGTGCCTTCCTGGTCCTTTTATGGAGAAAAATTACAAAAGCCAAACAATGTCTCAGGTGTAGGAAATTCCAAGGCGGGCTTGCAAATGTGAAAAGTGCCCCTGTGCACTCCTACCCACTAACGAGGACTCAACCTGCCCCTCTCCAAAACATACCTGGAATTTGTCCTTCAGCACCATAATCACGATCTCAAAAGACTTTTCTCTTTTGAAAGGTGAGTCATAGGTGATCTCTTCCCATCCCCATTTTTCATTTATCAAAGTATTGCAAACAATGCAGCCGGCCCTTTTGAAACGAGGATTGAAATGAAAGGCCACATCGGCTCGAGGTTTCACACTGCTGCCATACTGCAGGTCCACCTGGAATCTATATGAGGGAAGACACAGGGGCTCAGAAAGAAAAGCCACCAGGAAAGGCCCAGACTCCAGGCCCAGTGACAAGGGACTGACTGATCCCTCCTCATTCATTCACCGTGAGGCCTAAAGAGCTAGCTGCCTAATCTTCTTTTCCGTCTTCCTCGGTAACACAGTCCCTGAATTTGAAATGGGACTGAATCTGCCCAGAATAAGAACCCTACCTTTCCTAGCCTCCCTCGCAGCTAGGCTTGCCTGTGCAGCTAAAGCTCTGCTGATAAGATGGAAGTGAAGTGCTCAGGGAAGACTACTGCAAACTGCCTTAAAAGTCAGCAAGCACTTGCCTTTTGTCCTTCTCTGCTTCCCCGCAAACACCACACATGCACCCATCCAGCTACCCAAAGCACGGATGTGAGGGCTGGAAATCTAGCTGCCAAGGATAACAGGAAAGGGGACCTCACCTCACCCTCAAGATAGCAGTGTGGTGAGCTGGAAGGAGCCTGCTCCTCTAATGACTTAAAGGAGTTGACTGAAAAGGCCTGGGCTGTCTCCTTGAGACTTAATTTTCACATATTACTTAAACCATTGCTCTGCAGGTGTTAGCTACACAGAGCTGAGCCCAACACTGATGATACCAAAGCTTGTATCCAAAGCAAGTATTCGGTCAAACCATCTGAACTAGATCTTCTGAGATGCTGTGGGAATGTCAGACTACAACCAGATGGTCCCTGTCATCTGACCACACCTCCTTTCTTTTAATGACATATCTAATTCTTTGTCACCCGGGCTGTGGTGCAGTGGGTCATTCACAGCTTACTGCAACCTCAAACTCCTGGGCTCAAGTGATCCTCCTACCCCAGCTTCCTAAGTAGCTGGGACTGGAGGCACACACCACCATGCCCAGTTAAATTTTACAGATGGGGGTCTGTAAATTTTTTTTTTACCGATGGGGGTCTCATGATGTTGCCCAGGCTGGTCTCAAACTCCTGGCCTCAAATACTACTACCTCCTTGGCCTCCCAAAGTGCTGGAAATGCATGTGTAGGTCACCATATCCAGCTGACATTTCTAATTTTTTGTACTGAAATCAGACTTACAGCAATGAAACAAATCCCAATAACCTTTATTTAGTCATTCATTCCAATCTCCTCAGCACCTTGGACAGGGCTGCTGATGAAAGCAAATTAGGCCTCTAAGTATCAAATGGTCTCTCCCACATTACTCTTTGTTACCATTTCACAATCACAAAAAGACAGCTTATTCATGCTCCCTCCTTTAGCACAATGATTTTACCTGTCTGCATCACTAGGAACGTGCCCACGTATTACAATCAAAGTTCCAGGATCCAACTGATCAGGAATGGTGCCAACATAGGGGATTACCTAAGAAAAAATAATTTTAACAAACATGTTTACATAAACAAAATTACTTACTAAGCAATTACAACCCAAACCCATTATTGATAGAGAATAACTACATTTTTTAAGTGCACATAAATCTGCTCAGAATTCAGCATTTTCCAAGTCATCTTACCTATTCAAACAGCTATGAAAACGAACCACATGGCTAGGATATTTGCAATAGCTGCAAACTACTATGAGTTCTTTGGAAAGAGACACACAGTAAATACTATTCACAATATTTTGTATATAGCTGGGAGTTTATGAAGCAAAACTTCTGCCTAATATAATTCTCATAGTAAAATAAACAAAAGGACTTGTTGCAATGCCATATCTACTCATTCCTTTTCCTCCTGTTCCACTGCTGATCCCAACAGAAGGTTCTAGACCTCACTAGGCCCAAAGCCAATGCTGATGGAGACAATGACAAGCACTCACTGCCTCTGAAGGAAGCTGCAAGTCAAGCCACGCCCCCCACACCCGGATTTCCAGGGCCTGCTCTTCTCTGCTGGACTCCCAGACTGCACTGTTAGAAACTAGAGAGCTGCATGATCATGAGGATGAATGGGTGCTTGTAGGTCTTCAAGACACAGCATCTACCTGCCTTGGACCACTCCAGTCTGCGGGTGTGGGCTCTGACAGTTGGCCGCACCCAGTATTCAGGTCTCCACCTGCACCCTCACTGCCCAGAACACACCCCTTTTGTCTGGGACCTGCCACACTGCCAGATCTTGTCATTCCCCTTCCCCAGAGATGACTACATTGTCCTCCCAGTCCACTGGCTGGGGACCTGTGCTATGTGGCTGCCTCTCCTGCATCACAACCATCTCCCTCCATCTGGAGCATTTGACCAGGATGTGCAGCCCACACACCATTAAGCCTCACACTAAGCTCACCCAAATTATGATATGCATGGTAAAATCTATCCACGGTAGCGAGGATTGCCAAGAAATATGAAATAAAATAGGACAGGCCACAGAAAAGTGGTTATAAATTGGTGGCTCCTAAACAGAAATCTACTTCAGGCATAGCCTTCTCTGTGGAGCTGTTTTCAAGCTCCCTGGGGTGACCGAGCCAGCCCCTCTCAGAGGGTTCATTATAGCACTTTGGATTCTGCTTGTTTGCATGCAGCTTTGCGTAGACTGTGAGCTGCATGAGGCAGGACTGGCTCATTACCTTTAACTCCCGAGGACAGAGGCTAAGAGACAATCGGTAATTGCATGGTGAATGAATGAACTCTCACTCGTCTGGAAAGTGGGTTCTGGCAGTCCTCACACATGCAGAGGAGAGGCAACAGAGCAGCTGCTGAACGACAAGCTGAGGCCACAGGTTCCCTGTTGCCTTAGGCAGTAAGATGAGAAATTATGGAAGCCAATTATCCATGTGTTGTCACGGCAATTGCTAGGAGCAGGGTGGGAGACCCATGACACCAGAAAACAACTATGCTGAGAATCGTGGCCACTTGCTGCTTTCGTTGTCTGGGTTAATGCTTTCTACTTCAGAAAAGATCCTATGTTACTTCAGTAATATTCTTTTTTTTTTTTTTTTTAACTATGTTAGTGACACACAATGCCCTGCACCCAACTGATTTAAACCACAAGTATTTATGGCTCCTGTGAAAACAGAGAGGAACATTCATTGTTTTCTAGGCTACTCCAAGCTACTTTGGTGATTCATAGATATTACTAATTTACATTTTAAAAATTAAAATACAGATCTGATCACACTGGAGACAATACGACAAGCTTAAGCCATAGTCAGGTTTGGTATTATTTCCCAAAACATCCTAGCTGATTCATATTGCTTTGCCTTTCTGATGATTACTTATTAAATGTCTGCTGTATGCAAGGTTCTCTAGTAGGCAGACTGCAGCTAGAAAGAAGTGTAAGAGTCAGACACCCAGGAAAAATGATGAAAGTGGAAATGTGATACTCTGCTTGGCTGTTGAAAATTGGAATCCCCTTCCATATCTGGAAAATCCTCTACCTTATGAACATGAGACCTCATCTAGACTGCAAGAAGGAAAGAGCAAGTGACAAAACTGCCAACCTGAACTTCCAGCTCAGATTTTAAGTAAGAACCAGCAACAAGAAGAGGCCACCGTGATGCAGTATTCACTTTGGCAAGGGGGCACAGCAGCCATATTTGGGGTTGAAAAGCTACATCTGGGTCAGAGGCAGCTATATCCAGAGTCGAAAGGAGATACATCGGCAGTCAGAGGAAGCTATATCCAGGGCCAGAGAGAGCTACATCGGGGGCCAGAGGTAGCTGCATCCAGGATCAGAGGGAGCTACATCCGGGGCCAGAGGTAGCTGCATCCAGGGTCAGAGAGAGCTACATTCGGGGTCAGAGGTAGCTGCATCCGGGGTCAGAGGGAGCTATATCGGGGGCCAGAGGTAGCTGCATCCAGGGTCAGAGGGAGCTACATCCAGGGCCAGAGGCAGCTGCATCCAGGATCAGAGGTAGCTGCATTCAGGGTCAGAGGCAGCTGCATTCAGGGTCAGAAGGAGCTACACCCGGGGTTCAGAGGGAGCTGCATTCAGGGTCAGAGGGAGCTACATCCGGGATCAGAGGGAGCTACATCCGGTGTCAGAGGCAGCTGCATCCATGGTCAGAGAGAGCTACATCCAGGGTCAGAGACAGCAGTGGCATTGGTAGAGTGGCAGAGACACAGTACCATCTGTGTCCAGTGGTGACAACAGATGCCTCTTCAAGGGAATGGTCCTACAGCATACTTGTGTATCTGTGGCTACCTAGTCTCCAAGCCTGGTTCTTCATCCTGCTAGAGATTGAGAACTTTGCACTATCATTTAGCAAATTCCCTTTCTGCTTAAAGAGTTGACTTCTGTTGCTTTAACTACAAGCCCTGACCAACTTAACATCTTAAAAAAAATGGGGCAGTAAAGAAGAGTCAAATAAATGCCTCAGGAAAATGGGATAAGAAATTCTAACTGAGGTGGCCAAAAGCAGTTTATGAAGAAGGTGCGATTTCAGTTGCCACTTCAGGTAGAAATGGCAGTTTACAAAACCAGACAGGCAGGAAAAGACAAGACCTATCTGCTCTCAGTGAGTAGTCAGGGAGTAAAGAAAGGTAGGGCCAGGGTCAGGTTTTAGAGTGACATACGAAAGAGGTGTTTAGGAACAACAGTCCAGTGGGGGTGAAATAAGCCAGAGGTCAGGGGGTCATCTGGGTGACTGACTGCTGCCATAAGCCTGGCATGAAGTGATACAGACATGATCCAGGTTGGTGGCAATGGCCCTGGAAGAGCAGAGAAATCCGAAAGATGTTTCAAAGGAAACTCCCTACATAGGGCCTCTATACAAATGACAAAGCTGGGGGAAACAGGCTTCTTTTTCTTTCTTTCTTTTTTTTTTTTTTTTTAAGTAAGATGGAGTTTCACTTTTGTTGCCTAGGCTGGAGTATGATGGCATGATCTTAGAACCTCTGCCTCCCAGGTTCAAGTGATTCTCCTGCCTCAGCCTCCTGAGTAGCTGGGATTACAAGTGTGTACCACCACGCCTCGTTAATTTTTGTATTTTTAGTAGAGACTGGGGTTTCACCATGTTGGCCAGGCTGGTCTTGAACTCCTGACCTCCAGTGATCCACCTGCCTTGGCCTCCCAAAGTGCTGGGATTACAGGTGTGAGCCACGGTGCCTGGACGGGGAAACAGGTTACAGAAGGAAGATGATGAGTTTAGTTTGTAACACTTGGTGTGGAGCATTGGCAGACATCTAAGAGCAAATCTGCTGAGAAGACTTGGAGGAGAACCACACGTTAGGTTAATGGCCAGAGCACATATTTAAAAGTCAGGGTAGAGATAATTGGTAAAGATATCAAAGTAGATTAAGACACTGAAAGACAGGAAAGGTCAGGCAGCAAAGCCTTGGAGGTTTCTGAAATTAGGAGGTATGCAGAAAAGAGTTAACATGGCAGGCCTGACTGCCATCCCCCTTACAAAGCTGGCCCCTGGCTGGTGTCTAGGAACTTGGGGTTTTAGAAGGGTACCCACCAGCCTAATTGATGAAAGGGATTTCCTGCACCTGAACTGTTTATGCAAATAATATGGCCATCCCAACACCCTGCTTTCCTTCTAAGAGACTAGAATTTTTTGATATGTGTGAGGGTGCTTATGTGACCAGCCTCCAATAAAAACCCTAGGTGCTGAGTCTCTAATGAGCTTCCCTAGCAGACAACATTTCACAAGTGTTGTCACAACTCCTGCTGGAGGATGTAAGCACGTCCTGTGTGATTCTAGTAAGAGCTGACCTTAAAACTTGCGCTGAGTTTCCCCTGGACTTCACCCTAAGTGCCTTTCCCTTTGCAGTTCTGCTCTATATCCTTTTACTGCAATAAATCATAGCCACGAGTGCAAATCTATGCTGGTGAGTCATCAAAACTGGGTGTGACCCTGGGAACCTCAACATGGGGTGAGAAGAGAGAGAGAAGAATCTGTCAGGAGGCCAGGGCAATAATAGCAAGGGAATCAATGGATTCATAAATTTCAGTAAGAGGACAATTGTCAATATCTTTAACATGGAAAAAGCTAAGAAGGATCCAAGAAAATAAAGATAACAAAATGGATCATACTCTTTGATTAGTGATTCCACTTTTACAGATTTATCCTACAGAAATACTTAGCACAGGTGCACCAAGATGCACACACAAGGATGTACACTATAGCACCGGATATAATCGTAAAAAGACACAGCCCTTAACAAGGGACTGCAAAAATAAGTTTTACTACGAATTATGCAGCTGTTAAAATAAATGAGGAAGTTCTAGGCTGGGCACGGTGGCTGATGCCTGTAATCCCAGCACTTTAGGAGGCTGAGGCAGGCGGATCATGAGGTCAGGAGTTTGAGACCAGCCGGGCCAAGAGACGAGCCTGGCCAATATGGTGAAAACCCGTCTCTACTGAAAATACAAATATTAGCTGAGTGTGGTGGCGCACACCTGTAATCCCAGCTACTCCGGAGGCTG